CACCAATGGTCTTATATACAGCTTTACAAATAAGTCGAAGCACAAATTTGAGAGTGGTTAGAAATATCAAAACTTCATATCTTTCAACTGACACTTAAAACGTATGATGTAAATTTGAACGAATTAACGATATCCGCAAGGGTGTAAATGTTGCTTATACATACCGTACAATAGTGGTTATGTTCTACATTTAAAATTCAACCTCAATTCAAACCCTTTAAAATTCAAACCTAAAAAAGGATTAAATAAAATATAGCTTGAAAAAGTAAACAGTTCTAAGGTGAGGAAGTGCACTTAAAAGTACTAAACAAGCTCCCTCCGCTACCAAGATAATTTTACTTCGCCTGGGCTGTCTATTGCATGCAAATATTTCGGCGTCACGTAAGAAAATAAAGATCAGATTTAATTTCTTGATCCAAAGTTAACTTTTGAATTGGTTAATATCCAGCTGGAACATTGCTGGGTGGTAAGGGTATTAGCAATTATGATCATTTGGTGGTAATTATTACATACGGTTCATCCGTCCCCAAATATTTAATTATTTGTACTAGCTCGACATCCTGCTCGTTATACATTCAAGTCAGAATATATGTTCGGATAAACCAATATATTTTAAACCTATACTATACAATTCAAGACAACCATTGTTTTTAGATTTGTTGCGTGACTCTTTGAGCGACTTATTTACAACCTATTTTTATTTGCAATAGATATTTTGCATGCAGTAGACAGCCCAGGCGAAGTAAAATTATCTGGGTAGCGGAGGGAGCTTGTTTAGTACTTTTAAGTGCACTTCCTCACCTTAGAACTTTTTACTTTTTCAAGCTATATTTTATTTCTGTTCTGTTTGCACCAGCAACAATTGACTTAATACGTATAAAATTTCGCTCAGTGCAACCAAATATTAATATTTTAGGCTGTCGGCTAATGAAAGTGTTTGCTCTTGTGAAACAATATTTCCGTTTTTGCGGCTTACATGATTAGGAATTATTCAAAATTACATTATGCAATATAAGGATATTATGCAAAAAATTAATATAATTTCACCGTACACGTATAGAGAATTGAATAAAGTCTATTGAAAAGAAAATTAAATTTGCCATCTCTGTTCGTTCAAAAATGAGAATAAAAATTTGACACAAAAGTACCGTGAATGGGTGAAGTATATAGAGTGGGTGGGAACAAAATTTTGCAAGTTACCGTGGTCATGCTTTGCAGAAACTTTCTATATTTTAAATTGGTTTCCATTTAGAAATTTCCAATGTTATTAGTTATCGTATGAACATGAAAAGGAGAGCCGTTTCTATGTTACTATGCTCCAGGTAACTTTTTATCACAGTTACGGTAACCAATACGTCTTCGTAGTAAAAAATATGCACTGGAATCTGTAGCGAACTTAATCTAGTGAATGACGCCTCTCAATTTTTCTCACTCTGCTGAAACTGTACTATGATGACGAGGTAAGTTGTGACGGCGCCCAGAATCTGTGGACATTCATGAAATCAGCACATCGTTGAAAGACTTACATAATACAAACAGGCATGATTATTCTGTACATGTGCAACCGGTATTAAGCACATATTTAAAGTTATTACCGATACTACAAGATGTAAATTGAAGTGGAACAGTCGGGTCTGAATTTGTAGCGGGCTTCCGGAAATGTTAGACGTCATCAGTTGTAACTGGAATAAAGATAAACGTGATTAGTTAGATCGCCTTAAAAAAAGAGGACGCTCTAATGTTTGCACAAAATACCAGATCATTTCATTTAAACATAGGGAACGATTACAAGATTACGAACTCCGACGTCGGGTTTTTCTACTGGGATTTAATCTCTAAAATCATAAAACCACGTACATAATTTTACAAGTTGAAAATTGTCCAGCATACATACTTATCTTAGTTTTGTATATAAATAGAAAGGTTTATCAAACTGGTTTACGTTTTCCTAGCCCAAGAACTTGCTTTATTAGTCATTTCCCTACCATTTTTCATTTCAAATTATACGTTGAACCATTTAAAGATTGGAATTTCCAGCAAAAACCAAATTATACATACGTAATTGTTAATAATATATACCTTAAACTTCACGTTCTCTTCTAAATGGCTTCTACCACATGAAAACTTGATCACATTGTCCAAGAAGTTTCCACTCTTCTTCCTCAGTCGTGTCGATAGTGATGCAATCGACCAAATTCCAGACCCAGAAATGAAAATTATCAAAATATGGCTGACAAAAAACTCAATCGACGCCAGAGTGCAGCATTCGGCCCAAAACTGTGAGGCAAAATATCCACGAAAAATGCAGAACATCACAAAGTAGAAGACATCCAGGTTCATTTTATCTTCAAATGTCGCACTACACTCTTCCACGTTATGCTTCAAAAGGTCAAAACTGTTCAAGATCTCCTCTAGGAAATAGGAGTTTTGAAAATTTTCAAATTTCTGAAACTGACAAGATGTTTCCAAACTTTTAATTAGACAATCCAAGCAAAAGTTGTAAATCTGGCAGAAAAATTCTAAACCGAGTAGAGAAAAGAGAGCCATGAAAATCATGACGTTCGTCAAAACGAGGAAGAAATCAGCAATCACTGTGCGACTTGTGACACCTTGAACAGGTATTTGCCACAGGTTAGGAAACATTAAAGCACAAATCGTAATGGCAACGATCACATAAAAAAGAGTTAATTTTCTGTAGCGTTTCCTCAGTTTTTCGGACAACTGGACAAGATCGTTCTCAACTGGGATAATTTTTCGTAAATTTTGCAACATGGCGATACAAGAATAGAAAAGATTGGTCAATTTTTCCACGCGACACAGCAACGTTAACCGTGACAGGGTGGGCATGACGAGGACGAAGGTCGTGTGGAGGGCGGAAACGTATTGAAACGTTCCGGACGTATGGTTTTCTAGCCGGACCTTGAAAATGAAAACTGTGCATAGTCCGAAGATAATGCCGAAAATGGAGAGTAAGACAGCAACAATTTTTGGAACGGAAGATTTTCTGGAAATTGATAATGGTAGATAGCCGAAAATTTGGGAGGTGAAGAAACTCGTGTGGAACGCATAGTGTAAAGTTTGTGTAAGATTGGAAATATTGATTGGTAAATTGAGGTGGATTTTGGGAGGATTTTTTATTTTTGAAAAAAGTTTCAACATTTTTATCTATGTAATATTTATGTCTAACTTAGGGTTCGTTCAGGAATAAAACTCACGATGATCAATGTGTTTATAACGATAAAAGTAAGCTAGGCGATATGTTGGCATTTAGGCTTTGTTTACTTTTCTGATTGGATTGCATTTTGTCATTAATGCAAGTAGGAGGCAATATTTGCTGAAATTTCAATACATACATAATTGCTGTTCAACTATTTATTAAGGGGTGAAAGCCCTTTATAAGATCGTTATGTCCGTCTGTCTGTCCGTCCGTCCGTCCGTCCGTCCGTCCGTCTGTCTGTCCGTAGCTCCGATAACTTTTGAACGAAAAGACATAGACACTTGAAATTTTGAACGTAAACTCCTAACGTCAATGGACAGGACGAGTTCGAAGATGGACACTGTGACATCGTCACCTGTGACGATGACGTCATCACAGTGACGAAAAGTGACGAAAAAGTGTCACGTGTCAGTTTTGACATGTGACACATCATTTTTAACTATTTTTCAATGAGGAATTCGAAAATGCATGTCCTTTTGTGTTTGGACGTAACCTGTGACGATGACATCGTCACAGTGACGAAAAGGGACGAAAAAGTGTCACTTGTCAGTTTTGACATGTGACACATCATTTTTAACTATTTTTCAATGTCAAATTCAATGGTGACCTCCATTTTGACCTCAGAGGTCATGTAAAGGTCATAGGACATATATATTTCAATTTCAACTGAAATTTAACCCCGAATTCAATGGTGACCTCCATTTTGACCTCAGAGGTCATATAAAGGTCACATAAGGGTTATCAACTGTTAAATTTGACACAAATAAGACACAAAAGTCGAAAACACGTCAGAAGTGTCAATCTTAACAAATTTTCGAACAATTTGATATTCACATTGACGTATGACACTCCTTTCACCCCTTGGTTACATGCGTTGTAACGGTTTATTGATTGGATGTCTGTTACTTAAGAAAAATTGCGGGCATTTCTTGTACACTGTTAAATTAAAACTAACTCTATTAGAGTATAAGATAGATATGTACATATGTTCAAATACCGTACTGGCGTTGATTTGGGAACAACTTCCTACCAGATTAGCAGTAGTTTGTTCCTGAGTGGTAAATTTGTCATTGCCGCAGTATTACTAAACGGTAATGATAATGATGTTTACAGGTATTCCCAGTGCTGGTAGAGTGATTTAATTTCTAAGAGTTGAGATACCTATAGGTATCCCCTATAGGGACAACCCTGAATTTTCAATGTATTTATTGTTAGATTAAGATTCTTTCCAAAAGTTTTGTTTCTTGTATTTTCACCTTTTCCAGAACTTGTTGAAGGTTGTTTTCATCCTTTTTATTCCAGTCTCTCACCTCGTTTCCAGGAAGGTCGTAAATGATTTTTACCTGAGTCCTTACAACAGGCCTTATGAACGGAGTTAAACAGCAAATCACAATGTTGGGAGCCAAGACGTGATTCTCGATTTATGTACCTTTTATGGAATGGGGATTGCTTTTATGCACTAGAGAACGTACCAAGAAGTCTGTTACGTTGATCTCCAGGATAAAATAAAATAAAATAGATAAACATTAGGGGTATTCATTCATAGTTGTAGTCGTGTCCTCAGTATATTTAAATAATTTACGAGCAAAAAATAATAAGGGATAAAGCTTTGTAAGTCTGGTAATGCGATTTTTTATTAAAAAATTTGTCACCTTTACAAAATCTTATAAATGTCGTAACTTATTTTACGATACGAAGACTACCAAAAATAACGAATACCCTGAATCAGGGTTACAAGTGATATATATCACCGAGTGAGATTTAGTGAGATTTAATGATTTATATCATTTATCTCAGTTGGGGCTGAGTGAAAAATATGAGAAATAATGAGATAAACTTGTAGTTCATGCCCCCGTCCGCTAGGTGGCGCTAGTGCATGGCTCACAAATCTCACTATATCTCATATTTCCCATGTCTCACTATTTCTCATTATATCTCAGTGGGATGAGATTTACGAAGGTGAGATTAGATTTCTGCAACCCTGCCCTGAATGTGCATAGTAATTCCCTTTTTACACGTTGAAATTCGTATATGACATTTTTCGCAGATAAATAAAATCGCTACTCGATAGACACCTCGGTATGGTCCCTAGCTCAATGCATCTCAAGGGCAGTGTTCCAGCTTTAAAAAAATTCAATTCCACTCTAATACCAATCATGGATAGTGAAAGATCACTCACAATTTTGGGAAATAATGACACTCCAGAAGTTTTGATCTACGTCGTCCTTGTAGTTCAGTTGGTATACGTAAACTATTTATTTTGAGAAATATAGGATTTTACAATTTGATAAGATTTACATAAAATGCAGATATCGTCATTTATAACCGTTGCCATTCTCTCATCTGCCGCCTCATTGATGACTGATCACGATTGGTGTGATGGAGGAGGATGTTACGCCCAGAGTGAATTCAGTAAGGAAATTTGTACATTGTGTGAACAATTTAATGGATTGCTTATCAATTTTCTCCTAATATCATGTTACCCTACACAAGTTTGTTAAGAAACGTGTAGTGAGGGGATTTACAACCATGAATGTAAATACTATAGTATTTACATTCATGTTTACAACTTATGGCTCCGAAATTTCACAAATTTGTACAAACAGTTCTGGTGTCCTGTTTTAATTTTTGTTTCCATGGACTACATACTTACAATTTCTAAATTTTTAGTAGAGAGGATAAGTCTTTGAAATAATCTTGAAAAATAAAAACACACAATTGCTTGTAAATTTGCGAAAAAATTCCTATGCTTCACCAAAGTTTTGCGAAATCCCACAAGTATCACAAACTTCGAAAGTTACGTTTCTTTGTTCAATTTGCGAGATATGTATGCAAGTGAGATATTCAATGGTTGGCGTGACATGAATAAGCTCCATGTCAACCGTAATTTTACAAAATGTTACATGGTTTGCAAAATTTCATGGATGTACATATTAAGTACATACATGTATGTAAGCATCTCTTGTATTTATTCCACAGATGAAAAATATATCTGGGTAATTTACGGCATTTCTATATTTAAAATGCCTTTCTTCCAAGCTAATCAGTACTTGCACGAGGGTCTGTTTGGAGTAAGTGGTTGAAATTATTTAAGTACATACATCTTATATGCTAAAGACAATATATTTTACAATGAGCGTATTCATTTCAAGTTCGCATTGGCAAAAAAATTGGGCTTGAAAATTCATTTATGAACCTGGCGTATGTATTTCGAAGGCTAATATTTAGTAGGGAATTTTTATTCAAAATTACGCCGTAATAAGAACATATAATGAATGCTCTCGTTATGAACAATATTTAGAACTCGGCATTGTTCCATACCTACTAATTTCCAGTCTTATAAATAAATACGTGGTCCATGTACATAAATACGTATGAATTAATTTATTTGACAGGATAACGTGCAACAATTGAAATTCTGGGAGGAATTCATGCTCGTCGGAACAACGGGTCATATCTGGCTCAACCGACTACTCACCTATTACTATGCGGGTGAATACACCAAGTTTTATGAGCAAATGGACGCTTGCCAGATTATTTTTGACGTCTTCTCCATATTTGTTGTCCACGGGTATAAAAATAGGTTGGAGTTAAGGCTTTCCAAGGGGAAGGTTTAACTCTGGACGAAGCATGCAAAAATTTGCAAATTACCTGAACTCGATCTCTATGTATGTACTACCTTGAATTTCAACGTATTTATGCAAAAATTACGAATATCTGTAAAGTTAATGTTTGTAATAATGTATTTAGGGTATTTTATGTCTGTGCATATGTATTAGCCGGATAGACAAAACATTGAATTTACCCTTATTTATTTACAAACGGTTAATTATACTCATTCTTTCTTAGGTAATAAGACCGATTTTTCAATTTTCATATGTGCTTAGCAAAAAAACATGCATGCATATGTAAATATAACCAACTTATTTTTTCGAAATAAATGTATGTAAAATGATTTCATGGAAAGAATAATAATAAATTTAAAGGTTTACCAACTTACGCGAATTTATAATTTATTCCGTCAATGTATTATATATCCATAAGATATGAATCATAACTTAATTATGAATACGTACACAGACAGGCCGACAGAAAAGGCTAGCGGCACGTGCAGTCAGGAGAGGCACGTGTCGAAAATTAAATATTCTTTTGATCCAATTTTCCCAATACTTAAGCGGAGCCGTTAAGATATAATTATATTGTCTTTCATGGTAAACATTACTGCATAAAAATTGTAGAATTAAGTGAAGCTCTTATATACACTCTAACAAATTGGGTGATAGGCGCTATCACCGCGCGAGTGGAAATAGCAAGCATCACCGTAATGGTATATAATATAATATAATATATAATAAATAAAATAAAATATAAAATATAATATAATATAATATAAATATAAACCTATCACCGAAATTTGTCACCATTGCTGGTGATCGCCACTACCACCGCACCATGGTGGTAGCTTCGCTATACACGTGACTTGAAGAGGGGCAAGTTTGTCCTACTCCACGTACCAGAAACAGCAGCGGAGTTGCAATGGTAAAATTACTTCGTATTTCAAAGTTTACATAAGAGGAAAAAAATAATACCGTGCCCAAAAAGTTTTCGTGAATTTATTGACACAGGTAAAAAATTAAAAATTAAAAGTTAGCTAATTTTGGCCAAGTTAATTTTGTTTCATTTCTAGTTGGAGAGAAATTTAACTTTTGTATGTGGATCTGGAGGACCAGAATGTGCAGAAATTGAAGGATTTTGACCAGGTAATATTTGCATGAAATTGAGTAGCTTAATTGTTGAATCTGTACATAATTAATTAATATATTTTTTTCTAATTGGTCGGCCAACTGTAATCAATCTGGAGTCTACAACTCACGAATGTGGTCACTGGTTGCAATTTAAAAAATCTCGATAGTACAAGGGAATCTCTGCAAATAAGTAAATATGTGGCAAAGTTGTTTTAACGGTAAGGATAAATCAATAAACCCTGATATTTTGACCAATCTAAATGAAAGTTAATTATTTTAAACTTTAATTAATTTCAGTCAGTGTCCTATGTCGTGACTGGAAACTATTCACAACTTCAGTTGATGGTGCAGCTCCACAATGGCGAGGGACATAGGTTTTACATATATAGATACATATAAAATATTAATTATCTTTTTAGATATTTGAATAAAGCAATAAATTGTGAAAAATGTGACATTTTTGTATGAAATACTGAAATTATTTTTATTTATCTGTCACCAGACAATGAAAAGGCGAGCTAATTATGGTGGTAGCATATCACCGCGCGGTGATAAAAAATGTACATCCTTCTACCACCACCCGGTAGATGTCTACCACCACGATGGTGATGGCACTTTTTATCACCGCGCGGTGGTTGGTAACCACCATTGCGGTAGAGTCACATATAGTCACCGCTCGGTGATAATCCGGTGGTAAAATTTCTTAGAGTGTACTATTGACTATTGGACCAATTGAAATATGTACGTGGGGGTTACTTGCTAGTGTAAAAAAACGATTTCGTCACGAGCAAAATATGAAACTATTAATAATAATACTTAAATTCCGAACATAACGCAAGATTAGCCCAAATTGAAAGTATTGCGCTTTTAACGGCACTGTACATAAGTGTCCAATTTTCTGAATGGTACTTAAAGTTGTAGTAAAACTATCAAATTGTCAAATACAGTAAAAATTGGGAATTGGGAAAATGGCATGTGCTTTACAAACTAACGTGTGTACGATTCAAATGAGGAGAAAGCACAAAAATGTATAAACTTGAAATTTCATGGCCAAGAAATACTTTTTTATCGTAAGCAGGAATTCCTGACGCCTTCCTCCTCTCAGATCTTGATACCTTTCAGATACTTATAAATATGTATTCAAATTTAGACTCCGAGGGAGTAAAAACCACTAAAATAGTCATCTTCAGACCTTCATAAAGTTCTGAATTTGTTTTAGGCCTTTTAAGATGGCCTTATAGATTTATCAAGATTTCTATCTGTCCGTCCGTCTATAGGCACGATAACTCTCTTTAAACAAAAGCTATCGACTTGAAGTTTTCCAAATTCATCTTGGGGCAAAAAGTAACGTTGAGTGATGGGCATGGTCGGTCAAGTGGTTGGTCTGGGAGGGGGGGATGATTTAGATGGATCCTGTCGACCATACAAAATTTAAATTTTGTGAAGGGCTAAAATTAGGCACGAAGTTAACAATATATCATGAAATTATATGCAAATAATTTATTAGACGTCTGATTTTTAGTGAATAAATTTCATCTTAAAAGTTACTTGGAGTAGGTTTTTAATATACACGAAAAACTAATTTTTGCTCGAATTTTGATCATTTTTGCCTTCCCGTGATCCCAGGCACTTGCTTCCAGAAATTAAGCAGTAATCTTGCTTTTTTGTTAAATTTAGGACATTCCACTCCACTCTACAGAAATCTTTTAAAAAAATCGAAATTTAAAATTGATACTGACTTGACACAGGAAGCAATTCAGACTTAGCTAAAAAATGTAAATATTCTAGCAAAATTCGGCTTTTTGCTAACTCAAAAATGCGCATGGAATTAAACTACGTGCCTGAGGCATCTAGATCTGAGAAGGGCCAGTGGCGAAGTTCGCTTCTTAAGCTATTAAACTGTTTTGACCTTTAGTTCCTTTTTAATTAAATTGAATTAAGCAAACCCACTATGCTCATTGTGATCTACAATTAATTAAGTATATACGAAACATGCATGAGAAACTGCTCATTTCATTAATGAATATGTACATATGTAAGCCTACTAGTAAATAATAATTAACAAAAATCTTTAAAAAGACCAAAACTAATCAACTTCCACTGCAGTTCATTCGCAGCCTCCCACATTTGTAGTCAAAAAATTATTGACCCCTCAAACAAATGGAGGAACCACCCTCATTCCACTGGTACCTTAAAATCATACAATTCACCTGCACCACAAAGATGATTCCGTTCAACTGGAATCCTAAAACGAGACGCTTTCTTCCCGCGGGAAGACGCAAACTTAGGGAGAAGTTTCTCATCAAATTTGTCGAAGTCGTGTTATTTTCATTCACCATTTTCTCATTTTTCCGATTGCTTGCCAACATAGGGAAAGATCGCACAGAGTTTCCCCTCTTTATGAAGGTCGTCAATATTTCGTGGCTCATCGCGTCAGTGGTCATCACAATCGTATCGGTGCAAAATAACATTTTGCGGAATGATGTAATGGAATATGGGAACACTTTGATGGCAAAGTTAACCAAGAATGGGTATATTGTATATTGTATTATTATTATAGCAATTATTGGGACTATGACTCATTAGCAACGTTAGCAAAAAATAAACTTCGTAAATTCGCAAAAAATTAGCTTGGATATTCATTTGAGAAATTGCGCATCTCCTTGACTAATATTTGGTTCCCAATTTGTTTTATCAAAATTATGCGGTAATGCATGAAAACTCGTAACGAATTTCCCCAATGGGTAAATATTTGTATTAAATTAAGCTAATACTGTCAAGAATTTGTTTTTCGCCAAAGCTAAACGTACATAAATATATAACTTGATTAAGACACAGTTGAATCATGAATTAATAGAATTGCTTCGAGTCTCTTTTTTGGGGCAAATTTCTAATTTTTACAAAACAAATAACAAGTTTTTGAAGTTATCAACCTCATATCATTTACAAATACGACATTGGTTAAAACTTTATTAAATTTTTGCCATAAACAACTTTTTCAAAAATAATTTAGAATCGCCCAAGACGTCAACACCTTATGGACGGCTATCTTTCTTCTCGTCTTAAACCCAGTTCCGCATGCCCTGGTAGCGTCGCACTCTCCATGTGCCCCCAACCTGCTCAGCTCCATCGTTCTAGATTGCCGCGCGATTAATGATCGCGTACTGGATGGGGAAATCATAACGAAAGTACTTCTCGCCGTCTGGGAATCGTACTTCATGTCCATCATTTTCTTCGTGGCTTTCGTCGAATGGTCCTTCGTCTATCTCGGAGTTTCACTTATGACACAAGAGTTGGACAGTATTAGGTACTTCAAATATTTGTGAAAGAGATGACTTGTAATTACTTAATTATAAATTATCTCCTATGATTTTCCTTTTTCATTGTCAAAGAGAAAGTGCTTTGACAATACTTAACGCTGCAGCAATAAGACTTCTGAAGAGGCTATGAAGCTGCCCATATATAAATGCATGGGTCACTAGGCGTCTCAATAATTTTTTACCCTAGTTTAGCAATGAGTATTCTGTTGAGGATACCATGGATATTTACTAGTGCTGCTCACGAGCCGAGCTGAGCGAGGTAGCCCTCGGCTCGACTGTTTTTATAATAAACATACTTCCTCGGCTCGAGCTTTGACAAGGCCGGCCGAGCTGCCTAGAGTTTTCAAATGTTAATTAGGCGAAAGAGCTGGCTCGGCTCCTAATTTTCTTGGGTCGGTTCGTTTAACATTAAATCAAGCTGGCTCGATTATGAATCAGACTGTTTTGAGCAGGCTTGGCGTTGCTAAGTTCTTTCGAGCCGAGATGCCTCGAGGTTGTGAACTGTATTAATATTTTCCTCCATAAAGTTATGTTGCAAATTATTCTGAAAAATCAGACCTTTCAGTTACACATTTCCGATAAACTTCTTACACTTTCTTAGAGAAAAGAAAATCCAGTTTACGGACAGTGTCGACACCTTCGTCGCCATTAAACGGATCATGCACCTGCTCAACTGCGCGCTGCATCCGTACCTCGCTATCTTCTCGATCCTAATCCTGGCCATTTGCTCGGTCCTTCTATTCGGGACGATCCGCCTCTGGGACGAGGATATCTTAGCGATTACCGTGTTTCCCTTCTGCGCGGTTCGTTGCGGGTTCGAAACCTTCAGTCAGATCATGATTGGCGGGAAAGTTAAGTGCGCGTCTGGAAATCTGCTCCATTTCTGGGCCATGGATCCCGTCCTGGTGAAGGAGAAGTGGGCTCGGAAAGCGTTCAAGTGTTGGGCAAAGAGTGGCGTTAAGGTGAAGGCTG